TTTGCCACTCTTTTACGATCTACATATTTATAGAAACTTTTGCTGCCTGTTTTTATATTCTGAGCTAGTTTCCTCTCATAATCTATCTTACTTTTCTTTATAACTTTTTTTGTGGCTTTCTGTTGGCCTTTAAAGATTTCCCAGTCTGCTAGTTTCCCACAACTCTTTGCTTTTTTGTATGTGTTTTTTTTCAATCTGATACTTTCCTTTAATTCCTTAGACATCCATGGCTGGCTCCCTCTTTTCCTACAGTTCTTCCTTTTCACTGGAATATACTTCTGCTGAGCACTGTGAAAAATCGTTTTGAAAGTCCTCCACTGTCCTCAATTGACCCACCATAAAGTTTTTGCTCTCATTCTACCTTAACTAACTCCTCCTTCATAGTCCAACTGCCGTCGAGACATCAATCGCCTCAACCTCTCCACCCCTCTCACCCACTCCAACCTCTCCCCCGCAGAACGTGCAGCCCTCCGCTCCCTCCGCTCCAATCCCAACCTCACCATAAAACCTGCGGACAAGGGAGGTGCAGTTGTAGTGTGGCGCACTGACCTCGACATCGCCGAGGCCGGACGCCAACTCTCCGACACCTCCTCCTACCGCCCCCTTGATCAAGACCCCACCCCTGAGCACCAAACCATCATCTCCCAAACCATCCACAACCTCATCACCTCAGGTGACCTCCCACCCACGGCCTCCAACCTCATCGTTCCCCAACCTCGCACTGCCCGCTTCTATCTCCTTCCCAAAATCCACAAACCTGAATGCTCTGGTCGACCCATTGTCTCCGCCTGCTCCTGCCCCACCGAACTGATCTCCAACTATCTCGACTCCATTTTCTCCCCCTTGGTCCAGGAACTCCCTACCTATGTCCGTGACACCACCCACGCCCTCCACCTCCTCCAGAACTTCCAATTCCCCGGTCCCCAACACCTCATCTTTACCATGGACGTCCAGTCCCTCTACACCTGCATTCCCCATGCAGATGGCCTTAAGGCCCTCCGCTTCTTCCTGTCCCGCAGGCCCGACCAGTCCCCCTCCACTGACACCCTCATCCGCTTAGCCGAACTCGTCCTCACACTCAACAACTTCTCTTTCAATTCCTCCCACTTCCTACAGACAAAGGGGGTAGCCATGGGTACCCGCATGGGCCCAAGCTACGCCTGCCTCTTTGTAGGTTACGTGGAACAATCCCTCTTCCGTACCTACACCGGCCCTAAACCCCACCTCTTCCTCCGTTACATTGATGACTGTATCGGCGCCGCCTCGTGCTCCCACGAGGAGCTCGAACAGTTCATACACTTCACTAACACCTTCCACCCCAACCTTAAGTTTACCTGGACCATCTCTAACACCTCTCTCCCCTTCCTGGACCTCTCTGTCTCCATATCGGGCAACCACCTAGAAACCGATATTCATTTCAAGCCCACCGACTCCCACAGCTACCTAGAATACTCCTCCTCCCACCCACCTTCCTGCAAAAATGCTATCCCCTATTCCCAATTCCTTCGCCTCCGCCGCATCTGCTCCCAGGATGAGGCATTCCACTCCCGTACATCTCAGTTGTCCTCGTTTTTCAAGGACCGTAACTTCCCCTCCTCAGTGGTCGAGAACGCCCTCAACCGTGTCTCCCACATCTCCCGCACCTCATCCCTCACACCCCGTCCACGCAATAAAAACCAAAAAAGAATCCCCCTCGTCCTCACGTACCACCCCACCAACCTCCGGATCCAACGCATCATCCTCCGACACTTCCGCCATCTGCAATCCGACCCCACCACCAAAGACATCTTTCCCTCCCCACCTTTATCTGCTTTCCGGAGGGACAACTCTCTCCGTGACTCCCTCGTCCGCTCCACACTCCCCTCCAGCTCCACCACACCCGGCACTTTTCCCTGCAACCGCAGGAAGTGCTACACCTGCCCCCATACCTCCTCCCTCACCCCCATCCCAGGCCCCAAGAAGACTTTCCACATCAAGCAGATGTTCACCTGCACATCTGCCAATGTGGTATACTGCATCCGCTGTACCCGGTGTGGCTTCCTCTACATCGGGGAAACCAAGCGGAGACTCGGGGACCGCTTTGCAGAACACCTACGCTCGGTTCGCAACAAACAACTGCACCTCCCAGTCGCGAACCATTTCAACTCCCCCTCCCATTCCTCAGACGACATGTCCATCCTGGGCCTCCTGCAGTGCCACAACGATGCCACCCGAAGGTTGCAGGAACAGCAACTCATATTCCGCTTGGGAACCCTGCAGCCCAATGGTATCAATGTGGATTTCACAAGTTTCAAAATCTCCCCTCCCCCCACCGCATCCCAAAACCAGTCCAGCTCGTCCCTGCCTCCCTAACCTGTTCTTCCTCCCACCTATCCCCTCCTCCCACCTCAAGCCGCACCTCCATCTCCTACCGACCAACCTCATCCCGCCCCCTTGACCTGTCCGTCCTCCCTGGACTGACCTATCCCCTTCCTAACTCCCTACCTACACTCACCTTTCCTGGCCCCATCCCCGCCTCTTCGACCTGTTTGTTTCTTCTCCACCTATCCTCTCCTCCATCCCTCTTCTATCCGCCTCCCACTCTCTCCCTATTTATTTCAAAACCCCCTTCCCCTCCCCCTTTTCTGATGAAGGGTCTAGGCCCGAAACGTCAGCCTCTCTGCTCCTATGATGCTGCTTGGCCTGCTGTGTTCATCCAGCCTTGCACCTTGTTGTCTCGGATTCTCCAGCATCTGCAGTTCCTACTATCTCCCTCCTTCATAGTCTCCTTTGTTTAAGCACAGGACATAGGTACTGGATGTAACGTTCTCACGCTCCATTTGTATTTTAAATTCGACCATACTGTGATCGCTCCTTCTGAGAGGATCCCTAACTGTGAGATCATTAATTATTCCTGTCTCATTACACAGGACTAGATCTAGGATAGCTTGCTTCCTCGTAGGTTCCATTACATATTGTTCAAAGAAATTATCGTGGATGCATTCTATGAACCCCTCCTCAAGGCTGCCATGACCAACCTGGTTTGACCAACCGATATGTAGATTAAAATCCCCCATGATAATTGTTGTACCATTTTTGCAAGCATTAGCTATTTCTATGTTTATTGCCCACCCCACCACGATGTCATTATTTGGTGGCCTATAGATCACAACTATCAGTGACTTCTTCTCCCTGCTATTCCTAATTTGTGGGTCAACCCACAGCAGGAGGACTGCAGCGGTTCAAGAAGGCAGCTCACCACCACCTTCTCTCCCCTCCAATAAAAGAAGTATTTGAATTTGCCTCAGTGTCCTTGCATTATACAAGGGATGCTCAGTCATGTGTCTCAGTCTCAATAGTTATTCAGAACTTGAAGTACATTTTGGTAAATAACAGGCAAAGACTGGGCAGACTCAATGATAATCACTGGGGTTAAACAGCATACTGAAATTTCGTATCCAGGGACTAAATCTGAGCAGAGAAAGTACAATCACAAGAGGTGAGATGGTAGAAAAACCATTTTTATATCTACTACACAAAGTTCCTCCATCCCCAATAAGTAAAGGTATTGTGTGTTTATGGCACTACGTCACAAAGTAGCTGCAGAATTGATTTACATTAGCTGCTCAGTCAGGACAGCAATTCAATGATATAATTAGGGTTTCCATGTAGGAAAGTAATTACCCAGTTTCCTGCTCTTGAACAGTAATTTCAGCTGAAAAACTGTATTTACAAATATTGGTTGACAGCATCAGGTTTTGCACTGATGTCTAATAGCAAAATTGCTTGTTAACGCTGTCCACACATAACAAGACTACTGTCATAAGGCTTAATATCAAAAGGTTGTCTTCTATTTCAAAAGGAATCAGTTCCTTCAGACAAGCAGAGAAAATTGGGAGGAATAGATTAGATTTGAATTCAGAAAGTGTAATAAAGTCTTTATATATCTTGTGGATATAAACTTCCCATTAAAAGTGCCAGTGCACAGACTGTTAAGCTGATACTTCCTTGCCCTATCCTTGTGGTTCAATGCACTAGTTGACCTTTCTAAATCCAAATATTTATCTCAGTTCCACGAGCACTAATTTACCGTGGGCCTCAGCCTGATTGACAAGGAGCTTTATTAAACATCTTAAGGTTCTGAATGAAGAGGCTGCTTAATTCAGCAGTCAGCACACAATGTGGGGGAACGGGTGTGCTAACGTTACACTTCTTTTTGTGTCAGGGATCAAAAGGACAGATGCCCTGTTGATATTACTCACAGGTTGCCTCACGTAGTCACCGTGATCTTGGTTTCCTTCAGGCCATCTGCTCTATAGGCTCACATTTCAGTCTAAAATCCTCAGCCTTGGCTCTAAGAGCTGACTTCTCAAATATTACTCCCAAATCCTGTACTCAGAGCTTGGAATAAGGAATGGATGAATGATTGCTGAAGACAGATCTACGAAAATAAAGCTTGCAATCCATTAGGCTAACTTATTTCCATTCTACTTGCAGATGCAGTTCTCCCTTTCAATCTTGTTGAATCTGTTTTTTTTGTTCTAAAGATGAAGTAATTGTCATCACAGCACGTTCCTCCTAAGTTGTAACTGATCTTTTTAATGTTGTCAGCTCTCCTTGAGGTAATTCTGGAATGTGATTATAATAACTGTCAATGTTACTGATTTTATAAATGTTGGGTCTCTAAGAGTTTGGTTTATACCAGTAGCTATTGAAACGAGTGCAACAGGCACCCCCTCAATGCCTCCAACTGTCTCCCTTACCTGATGATCTAATGACTTCACTTGACAAAGAAGCAGCGCTCCAAAAGCTTGTGATTTCAAATAAACCTATTGTACTATAACCTACTGTTGTGTGACTTCTAACTTTTTACCTTATGAAGGAAAGATGTACTTATCTTCGTGCATGTTCAAAGGTTCAGGAACTTGACTAATCGGTTGAGGGGGGTTTAGGGCACGTGGTGTATACTAAATGTAAAAGTGCTACTAAATACATTAATGCAATATCTCAGGAAACCTGACTGGAAAGGAACATGTTTATTATTGAACACCAAAATACAGCCAATACTCCTGACATACATAGGCTAGCCCCAGCCTGGGACAGACAGTTCTGCAGACCAATCCATGAAATCAAGATTTAAGGGAATTTTATAGCTAGTGCATTAATGATAGAGCTTATACAAATTCAGGTCTATGGGCTTTAATACAATCTATGATTGGATTTTGCAAAACATCATTTAGAAACAGAATACTGAAAACATCAGCAGATGACAGACAATAAACTGCAGCAGGTAATGCTTTACTCTGTCCTCACAACACTTGTCCAATACATCCCAGATTCAAACTGAATAGGAAATAAATATGCCACACACTCACATCGATTCCCTGGAGTCATGTAAATGGCCTGCATCTTGCAGCACTCATCAGTACCTGATTAGAGCAAATGAATTTCTCCAATTCTACCCCAGTGTATTTATTGTACGGATATAAAATTCTTTATGTCAAGTCTCAGCCCTTATCTGCTTCTAGCGTTCAGAAACTTGTTAAAATGTACTAAGTTCCAACATGTTTCTTATTATTGTACTTAAAATATAGTGTGGCATTGAGTCACCAATTTGTGCTCAGTTGATTGACCTCAAATGTACATCTCACAAAATGAACTGTAGAACTTAATGAACACCATAGAAGCAATTAGCAGAGTCCAAGTAGTGAACCTCTCTGCAGGGTGTTCCTATTTAGTCCACTATCCATTGCTAACTGGTTTCCAGGAATGCACAGATGGCATTTATAAAGTCATGTGGTTTCTCAGCATGGACCCAATGGCCAGCTCCAGGAACATGTTCAACAACAGAATTTGGAAATAACCGCTTGATCTCGGGATAATCCTTGTCACTTTAAAAAAACACAAAAATCAATTAACACAGCAGCAAATGTTAGCAGTGACAATATATGGACTTATGTATGCTTAAATACACCACAATCTTGATTACCTAACACCAAGAAATAAAAAGTTAGAAGGTAATTGGTTCAATTCTTGTTTTATGAAGACTTAGCACCAGGCCAGATGAGGTGAACTAAGACTTGATTCAGATCATGTGACCTAGGAAGGGGGAAATTAAACTTCCCAAAATTGTGGCATTGTGCGATTTTGATTTGAAAAGCAGGTCAATATTAAGGGAAAACTTTACATCAGTCATTTTTTTAACATTATGAAATACAGGAAATTGTACAGGAAATGTGGCATTGTCCAAGGTGGCAAATGAGAAATGAAAACTGCAGTGAGTGAGCCCTCAGAAGTTGCATTGGCAGCAAATGCGGCCAAAGAAAAAGGGGCACCAGTGGATACTGAAATATCCAAATGGCGACTTTAAAGAAACACAAAATATGAAATATTCTATGCTTCTTTTCCCCTCTGGGAAGTCTATGGAGTGCTGTTCTATATCAACAGTACAAATTGTTGTTCCAATTGGTCTAATAATCCTGCATTCAGGCATGACTTTCCAATACATCTAAGCGAGCACTAGTGAGTATGGAGTGTGCAACATGTACCAAGTACATTCAAAATAAAGGTTGAAATTTTTGAATAGCTGGATCATGAGCAAATGTGGTTAAGTTAAGGAAATTTTTTACCTGATGTAGGGAGAATTACCCCCACCCAGAAAGAGTGTTGGGGCAGTGTAAGGACTACTGAACTTGGGGAAGTTCAGAAGACAATCCATTTGGTTTGCAATAGCCTCCAGATTAACTCTCCAAACATATCGACCATCACGTTGCACCAGATTAGTCAAGAGAAATTGTCTTATGTTATTATCCTACAAATGAAAGGAATGATGTCAACAGAGAGCATCATACTGGTGACATTGCACAGCACAGATATTAACATACAAATTTGGAACAGGATTGAACTACTTGGCCCTTAAACCAGGTACACCATTGAAAAAGGTCATGGGGGTTTATTTGATTTTAATCTCACCTCCACATTCCTGCCACCTCTATATCCCCGTATCTTTCACAAATTTGCTTTTCAAGAATCTATCACTTCTACCATAAAAATAATCAAAAACTCAAACTACCACCTTGAGAAAGAGATAACACAAAGATTGCTAAACAAAGTTTAATTTCTTTTATTAAACAAGGTAGAATAGCCACCACAAAAATTCCATCTATGGCAGAGCTCAGAGGTACTCTGATTTAAGCCACTGAACATCAGTCACAATGCAGAGGATTTTCTTTTCTTCCCTGCTCTCCCAAAAGCAAGACTTTCATTGAGGAATGATTTATTAGGTGGAAATAGTTGAGCTGTGATTGCTCCACTGATGGGTACCTCAGCTACCCCACTCACACAGTCATTCATCCATCTGTGTAAGACATTCACAACAAAATCTCATCCAAGATCCAAAACTGATTGAATAACCTATTAGCAGTCCTGGGCTTGCACAGTTATTCAGGGTAGTTCCCAAATAATTGCTGTGAAATCTTAAACAAAAACAGAAATTGCTGGAGAAACTCAGCAGGTCTGGCAGCATCCGTGATGGGAAAGCAGAGTCAACATTTCAGGTCCAAAGACACTTCATTAAAACTAGTAGGGGCTAGGAAAAGATGGTATACGTGATGGAGACAGGTGTTGAGGGAGTAAAGGAGTGAGGGAATAGTTGGAGGTAGTGCCTAGAGGGAGAGAAAGACAGAAAAATAAAGAGATGGATAATGGCAAGCCAGAAGAGAAAAACAAATGATAATGGGAACCATAGTAGGTGAAAACAGCTTGGCAGCGCTGAAAGCAGCCCATATGACGACAAAGCCCGGAGTGTAGCAGGGGTAGGGCTGTGAGTAGCGGGTAGGGGGTAGGCGTTGATTAAGAACATGGGGAGTGGTGTTCAGACCATAAAATTACTAAGCTCTGTGAAAGTTTTATCCTGGCAATCACTGAACAGCAAGACAGAGACAATTGGAAAAAACAGCAGCAATATTCCAGTAATCAAAAAAAAAAGGAAGAATAATGCAGCACAGAACTTATTTTTAGGGGAAGTGGGGAGGAACAAATCAATGCAAAAATAACCCACCACATACTCTGGACAGGAGGGATGCAACAGGCAAAGAGAATTCCTCACAGGAAGAAATTATGAAAGAATATCTCATCTAGGCTCAGGAAGGTGATTGTAATGTGAAACTAACCCAAGCTATGCCCAAGGATACGACAACTCGACCGTAACTTACCACAGATCTACTGTGCATGAAAAGGAATAATTTAAATTTTAGTCTCTATGTTGAAGAGGTTAAACAAAAATTGAATCCTCTAGATGGCTGCCTTGTTTTGCAAGTGGACCCTTTCAGCTGTCCCACCTGGTGCTGCTCTGCACATTCAAATATTACTTGTCTAAACTACCACAGAAATGACTGGTGACCTTTTACCTTGATGTATGGTTGGAGCTGTTGCTCAGCTTGTTTTCGTGCAGCGGACCTTGGCAAGTCATTAACCACAGTTACTGCCCTCATGGCAGCAATATATTTTAAGAAAGGTGTACGCGAGGTGGTCTGCCCGGGAGTGACGTCCACTACAACAAGCTTTTCGATCAGTTCTGGCTAAGCAGAGATAACAGAACATTATCACCGCTCTATGTCATAAGGCAAGTTTAAAATGCTCACCTTTAATGTTTCAGCAAGTTAAATGTACTGCCTAATACAAATCAACTGGTTCTAGGTAAAATGTTTACTTTGTGCTGAGTTCACTGATGCCAGTCAGAGCAACAAAACAGCTGATGAAACTGGCATCAGTGTACTTAGGCTAGGAGAAAAAAAAAAGATCAGTTTTTTTGTTGATTGTTCATCAGTAATCACTGCAATAAATGTGCATGTCTGAATATCAGATATGGATGAGATGAATGGACATCATCTCACCTTCTGCTTAGGCACCTTACAACCATCAAGACTCAACATTGAGTTTTAACACCTTCTTCCATGCTATCACTTATCCTCACAACCCTGGGTCCTGTAATCAAATCAGTACAGGCTTTCAATATAGGTTACCCATTTTCAACTACTCTCCAGCTTCTCTCATTCCCTAGCTTACTGTCAAAAATCCCATTGTTTGCCTACTCACTTCTTTTTGGGTCACTGGATTTGCAATGTTAACTCTCTCTCTCCACAGATAATAGAATAGAATTCCTACAGTGCGGAAGAGGTCATTTGGCCCCTCAAGTCTGCACTGATCCTCCAAAAAGCATTGCACCGAGACCCACCTCCATACCCTGCATTTCCCATGGCTAATCCACCTAGACTACTAAATTCCCAAACACTATGGGAATTTCATATGGCTAATCCACCTAACCTGCACTTCTTTGGACTGTGGGAGGAAACCAGAGCACCCGGAAGAAAGCCATGCAGTCATGGGGAGAATGCGCAAACTCCATACAGACAGTCACCCGAGGCTGGAATTGAACCCAGGTCCCTGGAGCTGTGAGGCAGCAGTGCTAACCACTGAGTCATTGTGCCACCCCAGATGCTGCCAAACCTGTTGAGCTTCTCTAGCAATTTCTGATGTTGTTTGTTACAGTTAAGAACAGACTTAGCTAGAATGCTCCCAAAGACAAACAACCTGGTAAACTGCTCTATTTTCACCTGACATCCACGCCTTTACTTATTAGAAAACTTAGCTGATCTTTTTCATCAACCTTCCAGGGAACCAAACGCTCAACTGGCCACTCAAATGTTGAACTAACTCAGCTAAATAAACTCAGCACAAGGACATCATAATCTGGGAACTTTTCTACAGTTTAATGTTACTAAAGGTCTTAGCCAAAAGGGAAAATGTCTTACACTACATGCAATTTACCAAAGTGAATGATAACCAGATATATTCATTGCCATCAATCACACATACCTTTAGCAGTGCTGTCGTCATTGCAATTTTGCCACCCATGCTATGGCCAATCATAATACACTTTGGAAACTGTAAAATGTTGAACAAATTCTGAAAATCAAAGCTCATTGCTTCGTAAGTCATCACTGGATTGTGTCCGCTATCGCCATGGTTACGGTTATCCACTGTCACCACCTTGTTAGAGAAGAGGCATGAAATGATTGTAAATACACAGAAGATCTGGCTTTACGCCTTTCATAAAGTACACTGAATGATTGAACTGAGATGTGCTCACATAATCACACTCTCTGCATTAGTCAGACTTTCACTCCATAAAAAGAGGTTGTAAAAGCAGTGGGTAGTTAGTGTCACATTCAAACCTAGAGTTTTGGGAAAGAAAGTCGTTGAATCAGAGCACAGTTCTCCTATAACTCACCATTCTGCCTGTCCGCTTAGACAATGCCTTCGCTATTGAATGAAAGTTTGATTTATTGCCAAAGAGTCCATGAAGGAAGACCAACGGAGTTTCTGTATTTCTGCCATGTATTACATCATGGGCAAGGTCCATTGGTCTAGAGAAAGCAGGATAATATTAATTAATTAACTCACAATCTGTAACAAATTTCACCTTATCATTAGCACATGAACGAGGACTACATAATTAAACCATAACAATGGCAACTTCAAATGGCTAATGCCAAAAAGATTAAAGAAAAATAAACTTCAGTTCTTAATGCAGTCAACACTGTCCCATGGTGAGAATACCAGCCACCTGCGCTATGTGAAGAAAAGTATATCATCATCATCACGCTGCACAGAAATAATGCCATCACAAACCTCCCATTACAAAGCCTACACATAGCCCAAAAAAGCAAAAACATACTCTGCAGCCAGTTCATTGTTGCAGCAGAATGGTCAGCTCAGGAATAATCTTGCCATTCCCCTTGATTTTCTATCATGACCAAAATGAAATAATGAAGCATAAAGCAGTCTGGTACTAGACTGATCAGTTAACAAGTGATTCACCAGAAACTGGATAAATGGCCACACAAGATCTCAGATCTCCACATCTTGTGCACTGTAAACATACAAACTGGTCATTACAAACTTAGAAATCCATCCCTAACACCTGACCCCAAACCCCATGCTTCTGCGGCTAACAGACCCACTCATGGACCACCCCACAAGCGATACTGAGCTGGACCTGCCCGGGTAAAGTCGCGTTTAAGCTGCGAGGGATCAGGAGAGCGGCGCGACAACTGGGGGCCTGGGTATGAATGTATCTGCGTCCACACTTACTTCAGCGTGGTGTCCTGTATGAACCGGCCAAGGGCCGGAGCCCGGACCGGGAGACATCTCCCTAGCGACCCGGCCCAACCACCATTTTTCAACAACAGGGCGCGCATTGCACAACCATAAGCCGTTACCAGGGTCAACCGGCGCGTAGTGATGACGTCACCGCGTTCCCACTGCGCTCCCTGTCGGTGAGGTGAGGAATCTGCGCCTGCATCATCCACTGTTCCAGGACAGGCCTGTGTACCAGGATCATTTCGAGGACATTGCTGTGGGTGTGGATCTTCTGACCATTTCTTTAACACATCTGTTTGTCAGGTGTAGTAAATATAGGGCACGAGGAAAAAAGACTGTTGACTGAGTCCAGAGAAATAGCTGACGAAGAGGCTATTTAGAGTCATACAGCATGAAAACAGACTCTTTGGTCCAACCAGTCCATGCTGAACATAATCCCAAACTAAACTTGTCCCCCTCCCTGCACCCTCTAAACCTCTCCTATTCATGTATCTATCTAAATAACGTTGTATTTGTACCCACAACCACTACTTCCTCTGTGTAAAAAAATTGCCTTTTATGTATTTTTTAAATCTTTCTCCTCTCACCTTACCAATGTGCCCCCTGATCTTGAAATCCCCCATGCTAGGGAAAAGACAACTACCATTAACTCCCTACCACTCATTATTTTATAAACTTCTATCAGTTGCCTTTCAATCTCTTATGCTCCAGTGGAAAAAATCCCAGCTTATCCAGCGATAAGGGATAGTGGGAACTGCCGATGCTGGAGAATCTGAGATAACAAGGTGTAGAGCTGGATGAACACAGTAGGCCAAGCAGCATCAGAGGAGCAGGAAAGCTGACGTTTCGGTCTGGACCCTTCTTCAGAAATAGGGGATGGAGCCAGTAAGGGTGAGTGTAGGTGAGGAGTTAGGGTGGGGGTAGGTCAGTCCAGGGAAAATGGACAGCTCAAGGAGGCGGGATGAGGCTAGTAGGTAGGAGATGGGGGTGGGGCTTGAGGTGGGAGGAGTGGATAGTTGGGAGAAAGGACGGACATGTTCGGGAGGTGGGGATGAGCTGGGCTGGTTTTGGGATGTGGTCGGGGGAGGGGAGATTTTGAAGCTTGTGAAGTCCACATTGATACTGCAAGGTTCCCAAGCTTATCCAGCCTTTTCTTTACAACTCAAACCTTCCATACCCTATAACATCCTGGTAAATCTCTTATGAACCCTCTCCAGCTCGATAATATCCTTCCTATAATTGGGCGACTAGAATTGGACACAGTATTCTAGAAGAGGCCTCTCCAATGTCCTGTACAACCTCAAATGACTTTCCAACTTCCATACTCAAGGGACTGAGCAATGAAGGCAAGCGTGCCAAATGCCTTTTTAACCACCCTGTCTGTATGTGACGTAAACACCAAAGAATTATGTACCTGCACCCCTAGGTCTCTTTGTTCTAAAACACTACCCAAAGCCCTATAATTAATTGTATGAGCCTTACCCTTGTTTGTTTACCAAAACGCAATACCTTGCATTTATCCAGATTGAACTCCATCTGCCATTTTTCAGCCCATTGACCCATTTGATCAAGATCCCTTTGTAATCTTAGAAAAGCTTCTTCACTATCTGTTTATGCCATCAATTTTGGTGTCATCTGCAAAGTTACTAACCAAATCATTTATATAAATGCCAAACAAAAGGGGTCCCAGAACTGATCCCTGCAGAACACTGCTGGTGACAGGCCTCCAGTCCGAAAAGCAACCATCCACCATCACTCTCTATCTCCTGCCGTTAAGTCAATTATGTATCTGATTGGCAAGCTCACTCTAAATCCCATGTGACCTAACTTTACTAATTAGTCTACCATGAGGATCCTTGTCAAAGGCTTTACTAAAATCCAAATAAACAACGTCTATTGATCTTTTTGGTATATTCCTCAAAAAACTCAAGTCAAGTTTGAGACACTATTTTCCTCACAAAATCATGCTGACTATCCCTAATCAATTCTTGCCTGTCTAAATGTCCACAAATCCTTTTATAATCACCTCCAACAATTTATCCACAACCGAAGTCAGACTCACAGGTTTATAGTTCCCGGTTTCTCCTGACAGCCTTTCTTAAACAAAGATACAACATTAGCCATCCTCCAGTCATTAGGCACCTCACTTGTAGTTATAGATGATGCAAATATTTCTGCAAGGGGTCTTGTAATTTCCTCCCTTCCCACAGCATTCTGGGATACATTAGATCAGATCCCAGAGATTTATCCACCTTTATATTCTCTAAGACTTCCTGAACTTCCACTTCAGTAACATGAACTGTTTTTAAAACATCAAAGTTTATTTTTCTGCATTCTCTGGACTCAATTTCTTTCTTCACGGAAAAACTAATGCAAAATATTCATTTAGTATTTCTCCCATCTCCTGGGGTTCAAATCAAAGATGATCTTCTTTGTCTTTAAGAGGCCCATCCTCTCTCTAGTTACCCTCTTGCTCTTAATATATTTGTAGAATCTCTCTGGGTTATCCTTAATCTTATCTGCCAATGCTATCTCATATCTCCTCTTTGCCTTCCTGATTTCTTTCTTAAGAATGCCCCAGCAGTCTTTATTTTGATTAAGAGATTCAATTGAACCAAGTTGTCGATATCTAAAATAAGATCCTCATTTATTCTTAACTAGAACTTCAATATGTTTATTCATCCACTGTTCCTTAATCTTTCCAACCTTACCTTTCACTCTAATAGGAACAAAATGCCTCTGAACTCTTGTCATCACACTCTTGAAAGTCTCCCACTTGTCAGCTGTCCTTTTACCTGCAAACAATCTACTACAATCAACTTTTTAAAGTTCTTGTCTCATACCATTAAAATTTGCCTTAATCCAATTAAAAATTTTAACTTTTAAGGAAGGCTTATCATTTTCCAAAACCATTTTGAAACTAATAGATTTATGACCTTGATCCCAAAGTGATCCCCCACTTTTACTTCAGTCACCTGCCTTATGCCCAAAAGAAGGTCTAGTTTTGCTCCTTCTCCAATAGAAGCATCCACATATTGATAAAGAAAATTTTCTTGAACACATTTGACAAATTCTTCACCATCCAAACCCTTTAGCACTATGGCATCCCCAGTCAATGCTTCCCAATTGGCCTGGATCAGCGAAGCATCATTTTAATGGTGGGAATAGGTAGTTTCTGAAGACACGGCCAGGATAAAGTCTAACCAGAGCTGACAACCCTAACTCAAGTTCCCATTTTTTAAATTGTTAATTACAAAAAAAAGGTGCATTCTAGATACGACTATTATGTGGTACTTGACAAAATTACAGTATGCACGCAGATGCAATACGTGTTTTGAAAGTCTTTGTGCTGTTGTTATGATCCCAGCTGATGTTACTACTGAACAAATCAGATGCCAGAATGAAATCTGGCTTGATAGATTCTTTGTTAAAGTTAACGTGGCAGTCTTTCATTGAAGTAATTGTCTGCTCCTCCTTTTGAATCCAAAGACTTTTGAACTATGTTCTTTAAAACCTTGCTCATTTCAGATTGTAATGGACCAGACTAAATTCCCTCAAAATGTATTAAGATAGCCTAGACTTCAACCTTTTCTTATTTTTAAAAGCAAGTTCTGGAGGGTAGGTGATGGAGAGGGCTGGGTTTGAAGGCTTTTTATTCTGAACTTTATACTCTTATTTTTCTAATTTATTTCAATGGTTTTGTACTTTTGTACCTAAGATGGCACAAAGGTCTGTAATGATGGACATTATATTTCTTTATTTTTCTAATTTTTTCCTGAGAATTTGTAATTAAGAATCTGTTCCCAGGTACCTTTGTACCTAAAATGTTGCTGTTAGTGGCTACATATAAACTTTTCACTGTACTCATGTGAGCACATGTTACAATAAAGCTAATTCTAATTCGAAGTGTAAGGTGTTGTGTTCCAGATGTAATTTGATTGGTCAAACTACCAGGCAAAACACACTTTATTCTTACAGGATAGTTAAAATACAAACAAAAGAAAGAAGAATTGGAATAACTTAATTCTATCGGAAAACTTGACAGAATAGTAGATTATTTAATTACTAAGCATCATGGCGGCTCAGTGGTTAGCACTGCTGCCTTACAGCTCCAGGGACCTGGGTTCAATTCTTGCCTCGGCTGACAGTGTAGAGTTTGCACGTTCTCCTTGTGTCTGCGTGGGCTTCCTCTGGGTGTTCTGGTTTCTTCCTACAGTCCAAAGGTGTTCAGGTTAGGTGGATTGGCCATGCTAACTTGCCCATAGTGTCCAGGGATGTGTTGGTTAGATGGATTAGCCATGGGAAAAAACGCAAGGTTACAAGGGATAGGATAGGGAGGTGAGATGGAGTGGGATGCTCCCCAGAGAGATGGTGTGGACTTGTTGGGCCGAATGGCCTGTTTCCACACTGTAGGGATTCTATGATTCTAATTGTTCCAATATAGTAACTTCCCATAAACACACCCTTGTATCAGTAAATTATAATCAGTAAAATAGATTGTCTCACATGTAATTCTCCAGTCCAGGAAGAAAGAAATCAGGAGAAAACTCTGAAAGAGGGAGAGAACTCAAGTATTTTGGTAGCAGGGATAGATGTAAATGAATTTCCCAACCCCATAGCTACTGAAAGTTAAATTAAAATTCTTGTTCTGTGGGAGCTTGACCCCACCCCTTCAGGCAGCTTCTATTGTTCCAACTTTAAAAAATCCCAAGACCTCACAAGCTGTGTACTTTATTGCTTGGGAATAGATTGCTTTCACCTCTGTCTCAACCTCTCTTCATAAAAAAAGGCCTAAATACATCTCTTAAAGCCTTAAGTGTCGTCACACCTCCCCCCTTAAAAATATGAACCATCAATATACAAAGATAGCTTCATTTTTAAAAGCCCTCAGTTTTATGCTATTATTAAACTACAATACATATACATTACATTGACTCTAAGCATGCAAACATTCAATTCTTACGTTCATTTCAATCCATTTCTTCTCCTATTGAACACCTCTGTCATCCTTCATCAGAGTAGTGACAATGCTGTGGCAATCATGTCCTGCCACATGTATAATTTTCAAATTGCATTGCTGCAATAATAAGCTCCACATAAATAGTCTGGAATTTTCACCATTAAATGTTTCCATAAACTTTAAGGGTTTATGATCAGTATATACAATTGACTCAGACATATTATTGGTAACATAAATGTTGAAATATTGTCTCTGTGTGACAGAAGTGACAGAATTATTGGTAATTATGGAATACAATAAGTGAAAGTTTTTCAAATGAAATGGGAAACTGACCATTTTTGTTGTGCCTAGGATTTTTTAAAACCAAGTTATTTCTGTAGTGCCCTGGAGCTTTTTCCTAGAAAACTTTAGGAAGATTAACAACGCCAAAGTTTAGATGAAAAGCAACAGAGCAGAGTGTGTTTACTGGCCATACAATAACTTAGATTTAGACATTCAGCAAGGTTGAAAGAGCAAGTACCAAAAGGGAACAATATTGGCCAACTGGTGCTGTCACCTGTGCCAGACCCTACCCTAGTGTGAATCAGTGAGAGCAGTTGGAAGGAAGGGCGAGAGGAAGTGGACGAGGTCAGATGGGGCTTTGGTTGTCTCTTTGAAAAATGAATAAAAGTGGGGACGTCTGCACATGTAATGGCATGTCACTGCACCCAGATTATGGTGACAGCAGCAGTGCATGCAAAGACGCATTTTGAAACCTATTGTGGTCAGCTGTTGTCACCAACCCTGTCTGCCTATACGCAGGTACAGCAGTCATTTTACTAGCCATTTTGGCATTTGGTGTGATCATTTTATCTTTTAACCATTAATTGAAAGGACACTATGGAACACATTTCTCTTCAAATCCACTTGACATCACAAGATTTAAGGCAAGGTTGATAATTGCTGGATTTATTTGCAGTCACGTATCTGAGTTTATGGCTGCCAGGATCTGTTACTATTCTCGTAATGTTTTGGAATTTGGTGGTGGAACAGCCTGTGAAGTGATAAGGATTCCATCTCAGCATTTTGCCACCTTCTGAGAAATCCTTTTTTTAGGATTCAATCAGGTGACTGAAAAACTGAAACACTTTGCATGACATGACTTGCAAAGTTGGAGGAAATGATATCAGTGGAGTAAGGGCATGGACTGATTTGAAAATAAGTATGAGATAGTTGAAGTCAGTTTGCTGAAAAATATATGGAGTGTGGGAGTATGGCAGTGATGGATGTGGAACTTTGTATGGATGAAGGTCTTGCATTTTGAAACTTCTGTAATTTTTGAAATGACGATGCTGGATTGGAGAACAAGGAAAGATGAACTATTACATTTTGATTTGATTTGATTTGAGGTTCATCTTAAAGGCTTCTGGATAGATTGCACTTGACATCTGAAAGGAATGTGTTTGAAAATCTCGGTGACAATATCTGTGGATAGTGAAACATCTATATGTGTAAGGATACAATGCTGGAAGCATATGGACCATTTCTTATCCTGTCCTTTTTTCTTCAACAACCAACCATTATTTGACAAATATGTTCTTTTCAATTTATCATTGCACAGGAAGTGAAACAACTGCACAGAGGCTGGTATCCCATCACCAAGTCACCTTTTATCTACATGTACACAGTACACTGGCTGTGACCAGCCAGCTCGGAGTCAGTCTCTGAAATCAGGAGACTCTCTGAATCTCCTGTTTTTGTTTTATGCAAAAAAACTTTATTCAGTATTTCCAATGCCAGGAAAACACCCATGTGGCCAGTGAACCAGTCACAGGCAAAGCCCGATATTTATGTAAAGAAAGTGGAGAGGGAGAGAATCCCCTGTTTATATCTGTCAGCCAGGCTCCCTGATTTGTCCAGGTTAACAATCCCAATCAGGATCTCATAGTCAACAAGATCCACCTGGTTCCAGTCACTACATTCCTTACCCCCAAATCTGGGGATGTAGGCCTGGTCTTCCTCTGGTAGCTTCTCCTGGGACATGTTTGCCCCAGGTCTGGTTCCTGACTCAACTCGGACATGAGCGGTGTGTACTGGTCTGTAGCTCGCATCTTGCATCTGGAGCGTCTCAGGAAAATTTCCTCCTCTTCTTGCGGTGGTAATGGTTTTGAGGTTATATTCATCTTGCACTCTGAGCCTTCCTCGACACTCGAAGGAGGGGGTGAACCTACGGTTTCTAACAGGCCTTCTGGCTGTTCTGAGGGGCCAGTTATGTTTTGCTCCTGACCCATTTGCGAGGTAGCAGCTTTCAGGTGATCCACATGTTTGTTCAGGACTGTCTCACCTACCTGAACATTGTATGTCATGGGCCTTGACCTTGCATTGATCTGGCCTCATTCCCATGCAGGGCCATTTCCATGATTCCAGCACTAAACTTCATCCCCTGAAGTAAACGGTCTCGCTCGCTTAGAGGAAGCATGTGGCCAACATTGGTGTTCCTGCTGCCATTTCACCGTCCCCACCAGGCTGGAGAATATCAGATATAACCTGGTGCGGAGTCTTCTCCACACCCCTGCAGTTGCGTGAGGGATGGTCCTATAATCAAACAGGAACCGGACCAGTTGGTATCGAGTGACTGCTGTAGGCTGTTTATTTAAACCAGCCTTCAATGTTTGGACTGCTCTTTCCACCAGGCCATTGGACGGTGGACAGTATGGAACTGTCCAAACATGCCAATTGCCATTATCAACTTTAGGAAATACTCGAATTCCTTGCCGGTAAATGATGTCCCATTGTCCGTGACAAATACCTCCAAGAGTCCATGTATTGCAGACAATGCTCACGGTTCTTCAATTGGCATCACTGAGTTCAACAAATGAACTCTATGCATGTCCAACTACTTTGAATAGGCATTCACAATGACCAAGAAAATTAAGCTCATGAAAGAATCTGTATAGTTGAAGTGTAACCGAATCCTGGGTTTACCCAGCCATTCAAATGAAGTGGGGATGCTGGCGGCAGTAACTTTTGTCCTTGTTGGCACTCTGGGCACTGCCCCAACAACGCAGTTATGTCAGCACCCAATCCTGGCCACCAGACATAATTTCTTGCCAACATCTTCATTTTGGAGACCCGTGGCTGACCTTGGTGGAGTTCAGCCAGTATGTGGCAAGGACTTTTACTGGGGACAATCACTCTTGCTCCCCATAGTGATATGGTATCCTCTACAGTGATCTGATCTCAACAGATCTTGAAAAGTTTCAATTCTCGTTGTGATGGCCCTTCTGTTTTCTTCATTACCACCAACTATTTCAGTTTCACCAGGACGGGATCTTCTTGTATCCACGGTCGGATATTGTGAGCAGTGACCAGAAGGGTGTCCAGAAAGTTTAAAACCAGAACAGACTCTTCCAAGGGAGGCACCACCAGTGGAGAATCTGACAGTCGGATGCAGCTCAAGGCATCCACATTAGCCACTTGGCCTCCTGTACGGTGGTCTAACTTGTCATTGTATGCACTGTGAATAAGGGCCCACCACTGAATTCGACCAGAAGCTATGGGTGATACCGCCTTGTCTTCTTTAAGTAGTCCTGACAGGGGTTTGTGGTCCATTACTATGACAAATTCACATCCGTTAAGGTATTGGTGGAACTTTCTCACCCTAAAGATGACTGCCAAGCCTTCCTTCTCTATCTAGATGCATTTGCCGTTCAGCATCAGCCAAAGTCTGGGAAGCATGCGCTATTGGGTGTTCCTCTCCATGGGACCACCGGTGATCCAACACTATCGCAATACTGTACGGGTAGCATCGTACTACCTCTCGCTTCAGACATTAATGGGCCAAAACCTTCGATGTCGCTAACTGCTTTTTCACTTCCCTAAAGGCTACTTCTTGGCTACGCGATTATTTCCAAGGCTGACCCTTTTTCAATAGTGGGTGTAAGGGTGCCAAGATGGAGGCCAGGTTACATATGAATTTCCCATAATAATTCACCAACCCAAGGAAAGACCTAAGCTCTGGTAAGAAGTGGGAGCGGACACCTTTGATCACCCTCACTTTATCTTCCAATGAGTGTAATCCAGTTTTGTCGACTCTGCAATCCAAGTAGGTCACTTGGAGTGCCTGGAACATACATTTTTCCCTTCTAAGGTGTACACCCGCCTGGGAGAAACATTTTAGCACTATGTCTAAGTTCTCCAACTGTTCTTTATTGATCTTCCCAGTTATTAGCTCATCATCCAAATAAATGACAACCTGGGGTAGCCCTTGTAAAGTGTTCTCTATGGTCTGTGGAAAACGGCACAGGCTGATGATACCCCAAATGGCAGTCTTGTGTATTGGTATAAACCCTTATGGGTGTTAATTGTGGTGTATTTCTGGGACTCCTCATCTGGTTGCAATTGCGGTTAGGCGTGGCTCATTTCCAGCTTCTTGAATGACGACACACACCCACACACACACACACACCCCCCACCACATCTCCCCCACAGCCCTGTTAGTGTGGATTAGAACTTCTCTATTCTAGGGATTGGTATTTATCCAGCTGCAAGATGCAGTTTACTCTTTGCTTAAAATCCTCACAAAGGTGAACCGAGCTGTCAGGTTTCACAATTGGTATGACCAGTGCTGCCTATTCTGCAAACTACACTAGTTTGATGATTCCTTCGACAAAATATTACAAACTTCCAACATACTGGGTCCAGTCTTCGACAGTAGGATCAAACGAATCAAACTCGCCAAATAAAGGCATGATGCCAGAAGTGCTTACCACAACTCAAAGATGACTGTTGCAAATGATTGTTCTTCAGGCATGCACTGTTTTCTCCTGTCGCCACTGAAATAACTGAACAGGGGCCAGTACCTTGTCACCAAGTCTCCCTTTATTTACACATGCACAGTACATGGGCTCTGACCAGCCAGCTCGGAGTCAGTCCCTGATGTTAGGAGACTCTCTGAATCCTCTGTAATATCTGTCAGCCAAGGCTCCCTGATTGGCCCAGGTTAACAACCCCAATCAGGGATCTCATTGTCAGTAAAGTCCACCTGGTTCCAATTATTACAGAAAGTTTTCTGTTTTCTTCTTTAATTAGTATGTTTGTCTATGTTTGGTGTTCATCGCCTCAACCCCAAGCTTTAGGAATCCATCCCCATAGCTCTTTCCTCTCCACTTTGCTCTCTCTCCTTAGGTATTGCTTAAAACCTACCTCCATTACCATTCTTTCGGTCATTTACCCCAAATTTGCTTTTCTGACTCAATATCATGATTGATTTTGTAATTCAATTATAAAGCACTTTGGAGCATTGTGCTATGTTAACAACACTATATAAACATATGTCGAGGTGTCTTGTAGCCCAGTGGTAGGGTCCTACTTCTAGAGCAAGAGATCTGGGTTCAAGTCTTAGATAACAAGGTGTAGAGCTGGATGAACACAGCAGACCAAGCAGCATCATAGGAGCAGGAAGGCTGACGTTTCGGGCCCATACCCTTCATCATTCCAGAAGTGTGTCGCAACATCTCTGAACAGGTTGATTAAAAAATCTGTGAATACAAATGGCTTGGATGTGACCACTAGATGGCATCACTTTCAACAAAATCATCATCAGTTTCCTTGCATGTGTCAAAGTTGCATACTGTGGACTGATAGATCCTAATACGGGATGATATCAATCGTTAATCATTGTTTTCCTCATGCCCTGCCATACTAACTGTGTATAATAAACCCAAGCCTTGCATGAGATCCATAGTGTCCTGGAGCTAAACAGAAAATGCTTGAATTGTTGAGGGCAGACCTTTGTCAAGACTTGATTCAGATCCAGGATCTCCTGTATTTTGCTTTTTGTCCATGGTGCCACAATGCATGGTTTTGCTTTGAAGCTGTGAGACCAGCAAGTAAATAAGTGAAGAATGGACAGCACAAGTCAGCTGTGAAATGCAATGTTCATCCTCTGGTCAGAAATCACACAGCACCAGGTTATAGTCCAACAGGTTTATTTGAAAACACAAGCTTTTGAAGCCTGACCCCTTCCTCAGGTGTCAGTGAGAGAAGTAGTATCAGACAGAATTTATCAGTAAAAGGCCAAAGTATCACACCACTGATGAGGATGTATTAAACAAACCTAAGATGCTGTAAATCTTTAACCAGTTAGAAGGTTTTACTTGATTAATATGTATATGTAAATCCCCGAATTTCTTTCAAGTCACCGTCCTGAGAGAACTAAAAGTTTTGTCTCTTGTTTTTGAATAATACAATGATAATGTTTGAAGTCATGCCTGACACATACGAAGATAGTTGTGGTTATTGGAGGTTTGTCAGCTCCAGGACATCTCTGCAGGAGTTCCTCAGGGTAGTGTCCTAGACCCAACCATCTTCAACAGCTTCATCAATGACTTTCCCTTCATCACAGCGTCAAAAGTGGGGATGTTCACCAATGATTGCACAATGTTCAGTCTATTTGCTACTCTTCAGATATTGAAGCAGTCCATGTTCAAATGTAACAGGATTTGGAAAATGTCCAGGCTTGGGCTGACAAGTGGCAAATAGCATGCACACCACACAAATGCAAGGCAATGACCATCATCAATAAGAGACAATCTAACCACTGCCCCTCAATGATATTGCAATCACTGAAGCCCAATCTCAACATCCCTGGCGTTATTGACCAGAAACTCAGCTGGGCTCACCACATAAACACAGAGGCTAAAAAGCAGGACAGAGGCTAGGAACGCTGCAGCGAGTAACTCACTTCCTGACTCCCCAAAGCCTGTCCACAATCTACCAGCATGAGTCATGAGTGTGATGGAATACTCCTCAGATGCCTTGATGGGTGCAGCTCCAACAACACTCAAGAAGGTTGAGAATATCCAAGGACAAAGCAACCCACTTGATTGGCAGCACATCCACACTCCCCACCACCAATTCTCAGCATACTATCTACAAGATGCAGTACAGAAATTCACCAAGGCTCCTTACACAGTACCTTCCAAACCCATGACCTCTTCTTTCTAGAAGGACAAGAGCAGCAGATACATGGGAACACCACTACCTGCAAGTTCCCTTCCAAGCCAATCATGACCCTGACTTGGAAATATATTGTTCTTTCACAGTTGCTGGGTCAAAGTCCTGGAATTCCCTCCCTAAGGGCATTGTGGGCCAACTCACAGCACGTGGACTGCAGCGGTTCAAGACAGTAACTCACCACCACCTTCTCAATGGCATCTAGGGGTGGGCAAGAAATGCTGGGCAGCCAGCAAAACCAATGTCCCACAAATAAATAAAAATATTTATGCCTACTTGAGAAATAGCTCATTTGAAAGATATTATTCTTTTAATTTGATCTTGGGATGTGGATGAATCAGCATTTACT